AGAGTGTAGATACAGCTTCCAACTTTCCCTTTGGGAATTCATTTTCTGCTGCAAGTTATTCTTTATCTGGTGTTTCCAGTGTTCAGACTCCAACAGACTCGCAATTTGTGTCTCAAGAGCTCTCTACTGAACACAACAACATGGATATTCTCGCTGATATTCTGCCACCTACTGGACCTTCACAGCAATCCTTTTCAGGTCCAACAGGTCAGCATCCACAGCCAAGTACTAATATGTATGGAAATTTTCATGCACAGCCAGGATCTGTAGTCCCTCATAATCAAACTGGATTTGCTGGACAACACAGTGGTGGGGGTTTTCCATCACAGGAAGGGCCTACAGCTCCCATCACTTTACATGGAGCTCCACAAACTCCAACAGGATCTACTGCACAGTTTAACAATGGAAATATCATCTCACAACAAGGTGGATTTTCAGCTCCCAACGGCGGAAACTTCTTTTCACAACAGGGAGGTTACATGCCTCCTCATGCTCATAATGGACCGGCTGCACAGCTTAGTGGGGGGAACTTCCATCCACAACAAGGTTCTGTCGGTTCAGTAGCTTCACAGGCCGCTCATCAAGCTCCATCTGGACGAGGTTCGCAACATAACAGTGATGTTCTGGGCAACGTTTTTTCACAAACAGGGCCAAACACCTCAATGGGTTCCCAGCAACCACTGTCATCTTCAACAGGGGCACTTGCTATAGTTGCTCAACCACCTAAAGACAGCAAGTTTGAAACTAAGTCAGCAGTTTGGGCTGATACGCTCAGCAGAGGCCTAGTTAATTTAAATATATCTGGAGGTGAGGGCTATGTCTCTTCTTCAACTTGTTTATTAACTATCTATGTTTTTTGTGTGTTTTACAACAGCTTTTGTTTTGTTTTTTCATTTGCAGCTAAAATTAACCCATTGAATGATATTGGAATTGATTTTGATTCCATTAATCGGAAGGAAAAGAGGATGGAGAAGCAGCCGTCAACTCCTGCAACATCTACTATTAACATGGGTAAAGCCATGGGATCTGGTTCTGGAATTGGCCGTGCAGGTGCAAGTGTTCTTAGGGCGCCACCAAACGCAATGGTGGGTTCAGGTATGGGCGTGGGGATGGGTCCTGGTCCGGGCATGGGTATGGGTATGGGCCTTGGTCCAGGTGGTGGTATGGGCATGGGGGGCTATGGTGGCACGAATCAACCCATGGGTATGGGGACGAACATGGGAGTGGGAATGAATATGGGCATGGGGATGCAAAGGCAAACCGGATTACCTCCTGGTTCAAACATGCCTAGTGGTTATAACCCCATGATGGGCGCAGGTGGTTATCCTCAGCAGCCATATGGCGGTTACCGATGAAATTGACAAAAGTAAGTTAATTCATGTTTGATTTGAGGTGGATAAGAATGGAATGCGAAGCCCGGTTTTTACTATTAAATTCTATCACAATTCACATCTAGACTAATATTTGGTATAGAAGGTTGTATTTTGAAACAAAAGTTGTGTAATTTTGTGGCCGGCCCCATGTGATGTAAATTTCCGTTCATCGTCCTTGTAACTATGCGTTTCGTATGGGTCACAAGAGAGTGTTGTCTATAGGTGCATTGCCTAGCTGGTTTCATCAGGGCTGTTGTCTTGTTTGTGTAGTAGTGGGGGATAACCATTATCAGGTTATCGTTTCTCTTCTTTTTATCAGATATATTCTTTTTGGCAGATGGTGTAACATTTATAGCGATGTTTGGCTACGGACACAAACCAATAAGCGTTGATTCTTTCTTCAACTTTCTCATGTTCTTTTTGTTCCTCTAGTTTTGTATATCGGTATGCGCAAAACAGAAGAGGTGTGATGGACAAATTTGGAACGAAAGAAACCAAGATATCTAAGTTTTGGAAGTTCGTCGCAAATGTTATTATCTTAGGCACAAATTCTTTAGCTAGTTTACCAATTTTGAAGCATCCATTGCTCGACATTAACTAAACCTTCGAAAATCTAACCAAGAAAATGGCATTTCAAATGACAGGAATAACTCTGAACACAAGTCATGTGCCTTGCACAACTTATTTTAGATGGAAAACTTTAACGGATTTAGGGTGAGATGTTAAATTGATGATCCATCACCGTCACCACCACCATCTCCATCACCAACACAACAACATACTCTACCAACTCACCATCACCACCACGACATCCACAATCTCTGACGCCAACATCTCCCATCACCATATCCTCCCTTGCGATCAGCCTTGCCCCCATGGCCACCTCCATTGTTTCACCATCACCACACCAACACCACCACCACCACCATCGCCTCACCATGTCCACCACCACTGCACCTCCGCAGCCACCACCGAGGTACTAAATTGGGGGCAATGGAAGTGTTGAAATATCTTAATCAAATGGATGGTTGTTTCTAGAATGCATGGGTTGCTTATAGAATTTTGTTAACCGTACAAGTTACAGTTACCTCTGCAAAAAGAAGTTTTTCAAAGTTAAAGTTGATCGGATCTTTAGATTTAATGGATTAATTATTTAATAAATTGAAAAAATAAATGGTTAAAATTAGATTATTTAAACTTAATTAGTATATTTAAGTCTAAAAATGCAAGATGTGCAATGTTTAAGTAATGTTTGTATATCTTTCTTCTTTTAATATTAAGATTTAATGAAATTTGATGTAGAAATAGACTTTTAATGTACTTAGCAAATTCTTTTTGGGTAAATCTCAATTTACAACCCTAAAGTTTCTTGATTTTTAACATTTCATACATCAAGTTTTTTTCATCCCATCTGGTATTTAAATGTTGAAATGTACCAAACTAGGATGAAAAAAAACTTCATGTATGAAACGTTGAAAATTAAGAAATTTTAAGGTAGTAAACTGAGTTTTACCCAAAAAAGAGTTTGTTAAATACACGAAAAGTCTATTTTAACATTATATATAAGATGGGGCAAGTGCAATGTTGTCTCCAACATAACCACCGAGTTTCGCCGGCCCAAGTCATCACAAGTTCCTTCATCAATGATTTATGGAATAAATGAGTTGTTTGTAAGATGAAATAATACTTAAGAAGTTAAATTAGGATTTGTGTTTCATGTTTGGGCCTGTGGGTTATGGAATAAATTTCAAGTTTTGATGTGCTATAAAACTGGGATGGAACAATTTCTGGTTCAAGTGTTTAATTTGCAGAAATTTGTGAAATTTTTTTCATAATGTGCATGCGGTGTGCATGGCTACATCTTAATATGAGAAGTAGGAATGTTCACTAGTTATGATGCATGTCTGTTGTGCCCTGGAATTTAGCGAGTATGACCACAACCTAGTTGGCCTTGGTGAAAAACAAAATTAAGAAGAATTTTAGAGGACGTTAAGGGTCATGCGTGTCCATAAAATAACGACAATGAGTATCATGTTTTCCATGTGCACGGTTAAGCGGTGGTTGATCTACGTAACAAGACTTTTCAAATTGTCACTGTAACCTTATATACGTAACAATTATGTTTTCATTGTATCCACTATACCAATATATTGACGTTAAAGTTTCTCCCATTCTGTGCGTATCATGTGCATGTATTGTACATATTATGTGCATATAGTGTATATGGTGCGTATTTACATCTTTAATACTCTTCGCATTAGCGTAGTTTACTACTTTTTTCTTTGATTCAGAGGCAGGCTCTACAAATGCGAAAAAAAAAAAAACGAACGAGTTCGTAAAACAAGTTCCTTTGATTTAGTTGGGTTCTTTCATGCCCATTCAAATTGCAATTTTCAAATCCTTGAAATATTTGATACCAAATTCAAATTAATGAATCTTCAATTCTTCATATAAAGTTTAGCGTCGTTTTTCTGATTTCGAAGAGAGAGTTGTGAGCTATGGGTTGAGATCAGATCTATGAGCATAACATGTGCATGTCGTGTACATACAATGTATGAGCGAGCTTAATATGAAGAGAGCAAACAACTACGCTAAACAATTTCATCCATATCATTTTCTCTTCCTTCTTTCCACTTTGATTTCTCTCTTTTTCCTCAAATTTATCTCAAAACCAAAAGGCAACTAACCTTTAATACGTTTTTTCATTTAATTGCAGCCAAAGCCAAACCCTATTTTAGTGCTTGTAAATTTGGATCGAGAGAGGGAACAGAGGGAGGGAGAAGACAGAAGAATGAAAACCCACATATAAATTAGAAAAATGATAAAAAAATAAAAATGGAATGATTTGGGTCTCCTCCAAGAAACACCAAATCAATCACTTTAACTCCAAAAATCCATCAATCAAAAAGAAAAATTGAGCAAACCCAATTCACAAAACCTATAAATGAAAAGGTAAAAATCGAAATTAGGAAACTAACCCGCATGTCGCCGATTCCATCACCCTTCTCATAACCAACGGCCTTTGTCAGACGCCCTGACAGTGTTTCTTCTTCTCTCCGTTCGAAATCTCTTTTTGAACTGTAATTGACTTTGTGGTGGCCTGGTCCGAGCTTGCAAACTGGATCCAAGGTCAGGGTGGCGGGTTTTGGATTCGTTTGCTTCAGAATTTGAGGTTTTCAGTCGAATTCTAAGTACTCGCCGTTGACTAGAGGCTTTGAATCGAACTCGAACGAATTTTGCAAGTTCAAATTTGTGGATTTGGGAGTTGTGAGGACGATTACTTGGGTGGGGAGAGAGAGAGAGCTTCAATGAAGAAGATGAGTGGGTTAGAGAGAGAGATTGGATGAAGAAGATGAGTGGGTTAGAAAGAGAGCTCTTAGGTGAAGAAGTTGGGTGAGTTAGGGTTCTTCGAACTGGAATCGAGCGAGAGAGATTTTCTCTCTCCTCTCTCTATTTTTCTCTACAAAATGAGAAATGAGGGTTGAAATTTCTAGATAACCCATTTATATGGGAGGACAATTTGATCATTTCAAAGTGTAGAAAACAAATCATATTTCTATCATTTTTGTGCATGGCATATGCATAATCGAAATGTCCTAAAATTAAGAAATTATCCTATTTCTAGATATTTCCTTTTTATTAAACAAAATATAATACAAAAATACACACTGGCGGCTGGAGCTCTGCTCCTTCTTCCTCTTCATTACGTGACTCCGTCTTCCATTGTTGAATGCTAGCTACAGGTTAAGATCAAATCGGACCTTATCATCTCCTTCACCAGTAAACCGGACCCTATCATCTCCTCTACCAGTAAACCACCAACTCTGACCGTCCTTCGCCACAGTCAAGCTTCCGCCCTCCGATCGCCGCCAAGAGAGTATCAGATGCAGAAATTGGGAGATTTCAAGCTTCCCCAATTCTTCAATTACCCTCCATACTTCACACTCCAACCCGTCAGAGAGACCCGCAAGAAGCAGATACAGCTATGGAATGACCTCATCCTCGACTACTGCAAAACCCATAGCATCTTCGTGATCGGATTGGAAGACCAAGACTTTCCGCTCTTCTCAAACCCCGCGATCGAGCGATCTCTCACCCACGAAGCCCGGGAAGCCTTTCTCTCGACGTTGGTGGCGCAGGGCCGAGCGGAGTGGCTGGATAAGGGCCGCCGGAAGTGCCTTGTGCTGTGGCATCGGATTCAGGACTGGGCTAATATTGTCCTAGACTTCGTCAAGGACAATGGGTTGAAGGATAGTGTGATGACGGTTGAGGAAATCCGATCTGGGATTGAGTCTAGGGGGACGGAGCTTCATGGGATTGATCGGACGGTTCTGATGAGGGCTTTGAAACTGCTGGAGCAGAAAGGGAAGCTTGCAATCTTCAAGGGGACTACGGCGGATGACGAGGGCGTGAAGTTTTCCATTTGATTTTGGTACCCTTTTGACTCTTAATCCAGGATTAGGAAAAACCCCATTTGTAATATGTGCTGTTTGTTTTGATTAGATGAACTGGTACTTGTGTTCATCAGATGCTTGAGGCCTAATTTAAATGAGAATATGATTTTGAGCACTCATATTTTTCTCTTAAATCTTTGCTGCATTATACATTGGTATGCTTTTATTTATAGGTAATATATAATGATGGTCATTTGCTATCGTTGCTGTAGATTATGGTTTTATATCAGTTTTTCGATTATAAATGCATCAAAGCATGAACTTTGGATTCTACTTTTTATCTGCATCAGCAGTTTGGTGGGCGTTGTTTCCTTCCCTGCAGATTTAGAGGATCAGTATGAGAAGGTACCTGTGTCTAAAAACTAGTAATTATAACTGAGAAAATATGTGTTGTTTCTGCTCTCATTAGAAAACTGCATGCTTGTGCAACTTGAAATGGAATGCTTGTTTCTGTAATTTTCTGCGTATAGCAATAAATATGTATTGCTGTCTAAGCATATGAAAATATAAAATCTAGATGCATGCTAAGGTACTTTTTCAAGTCTATATATTTTTCGTTTGCCGCATCACACTTTTGTTTACTGTTGCACAGCTTCTTGTTATTACAATTGTTTTTCCAGCGAACCCACTGGTCTGTTTGCATAATGATATGCTGCTTTTATGCTGTTTGACACCACATATGCTCTAGTGTTGAATTGGCAATGCAGCATCCGTTTCTTTGTACTTTCTGAAGTATTACAAGAATGATAAAAAGTTAAAACTAAAGAAAAGCTAAGTTGAATTCTTAATATCATATACGTTTCCACAATAATGGGTGTAGCCACATTGGTCAGAGCAGATGTGCTCCCCTCTATGCACCCGAGTTTGAATCCATGTCCCTGCAATTTAGATTAGTTTAAAGTAGACCTTTATGACAGAGAATCCAAATATCAAGTTTTGCAGAACAGGAAACATCAACATGTGGGCCCTCAGTTATGACTTTCTTTTATCATTTGAAGTTTTATGCATCCTTTTCATTAACCTTCTAAATGCATCGCTTATTTTTGTTTCATACCAGTTCGACTCAGCAGCATACTGAAAGGTCAGGTTTAAAGAAGGCCTTCCATTGATCTTCCAGTAAGATTCCCAAACATTATCTAGCTTTTTTTTTTTTTTTTTTTTTTTTTTTTTTAGGAATAACAAAGCTAGCTACAAGCATGTATTCTACCTGTGTCAATCACTGATATAGTACTAGGACTCATGGTCTACTCCTACCAGTATTAGGACTAATCTACACTACTGCAACAGAGACGCGGACACGGACTCACTTTAAAGCCCTGCACCTTAAGATCTGTATGTTGGTCATTGAACTTTTCTTATGGACTCGCTATTAACATTCATGCTTCAAGGACATAGTTGGAATCCATTTATGTTCTTTAAATTTTTTTAAGGACGAGGTGTCGGGTTCAATATATTAATCTAATGGTTATAACTGAATTATCACAAGCCTACTATTTCAACCTTATTTATCAACTGCTACTTGTTGCCCAGTCTAGTTGTGGTCCCTCCTTGAAGCTCAAGGAATTGAAGAATTCTTACAGATTGACCTACAGATACTTAGGCCAATTCTTAGACTGCCTTTGCCGAAGATAATTCACCTTCCTATCATAGGATTTTACCTACGAAGTTACGTAATCTTGTTTAATCTCTGGCGTGCCACACCGTGTGCTATAAATGACCAGTTCCCATTGACATTGATTTATAATTTTATATGCACCATTGGTCTAGCAGAAGGAGCTCTTTTCTTATATTTAGTTATTCTAACTTCAAAGTCTTTGGAGAGTCATTTTGTCAACTTATGCCCTTTCAGAATGAGATCATGATTGCATATATTTGATCAGTTGCCTTCGTTTTCTGGTAAACATCGTGTGTCTGATATCTAGCACACTCGCATGCACCTTTGTGGGATTTCAGTTTTAGTATGTGAAAACGCACCGCAACATAACGCTTTCATTTCAATTCTCATGCATGCAATTCTTTACTTTGCAGTACATGGTCCCGCTTGTGATTAACTTGCCTTGTTCATGCAAAACCATAAAAGCCAAGATGCCTCGCAAAGAGTTGGCGGATGGGTTAGGTGAATGAGATGACCGTACGTGTAGTCACGTTGCATGATCCCAACCCGAAGGCTTCATAGGGTGCTGAGAAGATGGTATTCCTTGCTTGTGTACCATTCATCCCCAGCAGCTCCATTGCTTTGTTTGTGAACTTGAAGCCGAACAAATTGCACATTGTAAGGCATTTTCGTTTGCGCCGTTCCAGCTTTGCAATAAACTATAAGCTTGATATTAAGTTGGGAGCGTATCTCTAAAGACTCTACAAACATATAAATGGTCTAACAAAAGGATGTGCTTAAATGTAAAACTTGCGTGATTTTGAGTATGAGTTGTCTTCAAATGTCACATGCTAGCTTGAAATCGATCCTATAATTTGTGCATTTTATGTAGATGACCCATTTAACTTTCTATCTTAAGAACCAATTGCTTAGTCTAATCCCAAATTATGTAATGTAAAATATGGCCATCTTTACACAATTATTAATTAGGATAGGGATCAAACTACAACCAAATTAACGACTTCTATTTTATAAACAACCGTTTCAAAAGTACTTCATCAAATTCATCTAAATGTTTTTAGGAACTCAGATGTTTCCCAACTTGCTTGTTTTTCTTGCATGAAAAATTATAAGCACAAAGAATGATGGATATTTCCCATAGGATTCCTCCTTGGGCCAAATACTTTTATGCATATTGCTAAAATAGAGTTAATTTCTTGATATATTCATCTCCCAATCGGAGGATTTATATACGAATACAAGCAATGATGATCAGGTATGAAACCAATACAAGAAGTCATAAAAAAACTGCTATGAAACTACTGCCTATATCTAAATTTACTGCTTACAACTACTCTATTAATTACAATGGATTTCATGTGTGATTTCCTAATTCTTTAGACAACAATGGCTGCTTCAGTTAACACTCCTCCTGAAGTTGGTGCATAAATATCTCGAATGCCCAACTTGTTGAGTGAAAGATGGAAAATCCTACTTGACATTGCCTTTGTTATATCTGCTAGCTGGTCATCACTCTTCAACCAACCTTTCCTTAATGAAGTGCCTATCCACTTCAACATGTTTAGTACGATCATGTTGAATTGGATTATGAGCAATGCTAATGGTAGCTTTGTTATCACAATAAAGATTTGATGGCTTTGTAGAATTGAAACCAATTTCTCTCAACAAAATCTTGAGCCATAACAATTCTAGCACACCGTGTGCCATACCTCTAAATTCAGCTTCATCATTGGATCTAGCCACTACTTGTTGCTTCTTACTACGCCAAGTAACTAGATTTCCTCCAACAAATGTAAAATATCCAGAAGTCAATCTGCGATCAGTTACTGACCCAGCCCAATCTGTGTAAGTGTATCCTTCAACTTCTTGAGGTCCATGATTGGAAAACATCAAGCCTTTTCCAGAAGCAGACTTCAAATACCTGAGAATGCATTGTACAACATCCATGTGGGCTTCACTTGGCCTATGCATAAATTGACTCACCTTACTTACAGCATAGGCTATGTTAGGTCATGTCAACCTCCCAACTAATCTTTGGTATCTTTCCTTGTCAGCTGAAACTTGATCAGGATAGTCTCCCAATCTATGGTTTTGCTCAATTGGTGTGTCTGCAGGTTTACAAGCTAACATCCCAGTCTCAGTTAATAAGTCTATAACATATTTCTTTTGAGAAAGAAAAATGCCATGCTTTGATCTTGCAACTTCAATACCCAAGAAATATTTCAGAATACCCAAGTCTTTCATTTCAAATTCCTTGGCTAGATACTTTTGAAGTTTTTGAATTTCCTCGACATCATTACCTATAACCACCATATCATCCACATAAACAATTAAGGCTGTAAGTTTACCTCTATCATGCTTAAGAAATAAGGTATGGTCAGCTTGAGTTTGCTTGAACCTATAATTTCTCATCGATTGAGCGAACCTGCCAAACCATGCCCTTGGTGATTGCTTCAATCCATACAAGGACTTTCTCAACCTGCATATTTTGCCAATATCGCAAGTGGTAGTGAATCCAGGAGGAAGATCCATGTATACCTCTTCATCCAAGTCTCCATGTAAAAATGCTTTTTTCACATCAAACTGTCCTAAAGGCCACCCTAGATTAGCTGCCAATGACATAAGAACCCTAATAGTGTTGATCTTCACTATCGGAGCAAATGTCTCCTGATGATCAATGTCATAGGTTTGAGTATAACCTTTGGCTACCAATCTAGCCTTGTACCTCTCCACTGAACCATTAACTTTATGCTTTACTATGAACACCCATCCACACCCAATAGGTTTCTTGTCTTCAAGAAGTTTAACCAGTTCCCAAGTGGAGTTTTTTCGAATAGCTTCCATCTCTTCAATCATAGCTTTTTTCCATTTTGAATTTTTAAGAGCATCCTGTAACTTATTAGGAATTGAGACTGATGACAATTGGTTTGCAAAAGCTATATAAGAGTTTGACAAGCGATGAGATGAAACAAAATTAGATATAGGATATTGAATACCCTTTGTAGAAGAATGACCATAACGAACAGGGGGTATCCCTCGATTTTCTCGAATAGGATAACGAGAACCCTGAGACTCATGATGTGGTTCATTTGAATCATTTGGATCAGCACTTAATGGAATCTCATGATTGGACTCATCAAATATAGTAGGCTGAAGAGAGGGAGAGTGAGTGGTTACCTCAGGATAATTCGTATGAGTAGTAGTTGATTGGTCAGAGAGTTGGTCAATGAGGGGATTTATTTGTGGGTGGTCTATCTCATCATCCACTTTTTCCTTTTCTTTTCCTTTATCTCCCCTTTTTCTTGTCCTCTCATACACCTTCAATATTTTTCCACTCTTTGCATCATCATTAGGCAAATTTGCACCATCACCGGCATCAGACAAGTGTTCATCCAAAAAATGCATACCACCAATGTCAAGTGGCAACTGCTCTTCCTCCTTACTCCTTATCTCCCCCTGAAGAGAAGTGGCCGAATCTCCCTCTGAAAAATAAGCCTCTTGTTCCTGAAAGGTAACATCCATAGAGACAAAAATTTTCCCATTGGGAGGATAGTAACATCAATACCCTTTCTGAGTAGCAGAATAGCCAATAAACATACATTTGATGGCTCGAGGATCCAACTTATCACGATTTTGCATGTGGACATGAACATAGCAGACACAACCAAACACTTTTGGAGGAATATGAAGGAGTGAAGGAAGAGAATGATATTGGGAAAGGGTTTGGATAGGTGTTTGAAATTGTAGAACACGTGATGGCATTCGGTTGATAAGAAAAACCGTTGTGTGAATGGCATCACCCCAAAAACGTTTAGGAACATGCATAGATCGAGCCACATCCAAGAGGTGATGATTTTTACATTTTGCTATACCGTTCTGTTGAGGAGTATGTGGACAAGATGTTTGATGAATGGTACCTTGTTGTTGAAAAAATGTTCCAAGTCCATAATTCAAATACTCTTTCCCATTGTCAGATCGAACAACTTGAATTTTAGCATTAAATTGGGTTTGAATCATTTGATGAAAGATTGGAAAAATCGATATAACCTCACTCTTACTTTTTAGTAAGTATACCCAAGAAACTCGAGTGTAGTCATCAATGGAAGAGACAAGGTATTTAGCACCAGTATAAGTAGGATTATGAAATGGTCCCTAAACATCAGAATGAATGAGAGAGAAAGGAACATCACTTTTATTGGAACTTAAAGGAAATGAGACACGATGATTTTTAGAAAAGATGCAAGTTTCACAATGGAAATTAGAAACCTTGACTTTAGAAAATAAAGAAGGGAATAGATATTGCAGATACTGCAAGGAAGGATCTCCCAATCTTTTGTGCCATAACCAAATTTTTTCAGAAGCTTCAAATTGTTTAGCTTCCACTTGACAACTGTAACTTGTCTTCTCACAATCTGGTGGTAAGTCCAAGTAGTATAGACCTCCCCTTTCTCTACCATGACCAATCAATGCTTTCGTTCAAATATCCTGAAACCAACAATGAGTAGGAGAAAAGATGGCAAGACAGTTTAGTTGATTTGTAAGTTTACCAATGGAAAGCAAATTGTGAGAAAGATTAGGAACATGTAAAACAAATGAGAGAGATAGGCATGGTGTTAATGAGATGGAGCCTACTCCAAGCACTGGAGTGGAAATACCATTAGCAACTTTAACGGTATTTAAAGGTGGAGTAGTGTGAGAAGCAAACCATGAAGAGTTATTGGTCATATGGTTAGAAGCCCCTGAATCAATGATCCACGGTTTATTTGGAGCATCAAATGTGGTGTTCAAGGCAAAACCAAAGTTACATACGTTGACTAAGGAGGTGGAAGTAGTAGTAGGAGAAATTGAGTGGGCAGATCTACTCGAGGCACGAAAGGCGTTGGTGTAGTAAAGTGTGCTTGTGATCCAACAATGCTTTTCTTTTCATTTTCCTTCTTTTGAACCCACCAATCAGGATATCCATGCAACTTAAAACAAGTGTCTCTGGTATGCTTATCCTTGTCACAATGAGTACACTTCCTTGTATCAGTAACTTTAGATCCACTTGATCAAGAATTTGAGACTCCACGAGGAAATCGAGACGGAGCAGCTACCATGGCTGATCCTTCCACTTGTGGGCCAACCAACATAATGGTTTGCCTACTTGCTTCAGCATTCACAAGAGCATAAGCAGCACGAACAGATGGCAAAGGTGTTTGAGTCAAAACTTGACTATGAACATGATCTAAATGAGGATCAAGGCCAGCCAGAAAATCATACAATCTTTCTTCTGAAATTTTTGTCTCTCGAGCAGCAACATCATCAGCACATTTCAATTTTCCAGGACGCAAGAAATCTATTTCTTGCCATGTTTGATGAAGTTTACGATAATATGCAGATAAAGGCTCACCATTCTGGCAAGTCGCCAGTGCTTGACGACAAAGTTCATATAATTTTGATGCATCTTTTTCAATCAAGTAAGTTTGGGTAACATCATCCCAAACATCTTTTGCAGTAGAGAGTCGGAGAAAAATGGCCCACAAATCTCTGGTCATGGAGTAGAGAAGCCAAGATTAAACCATGGCATTCTCTTCCTCCCATATAGCATACGATGCATCGGCTTCTGCTGGTGCCTTCTTTTTTCGACTGACATAAGACCATTTGCCTCTCACGAGGAATAGTTGGACCCATCCAACTTGTCTAGGGTGATATGTAGAGACATATCATTTTGTGTAATAGCAACTGAAACAGTGGTCTTGGAGTCACCCATTACTACTGCAATGAATTCTCGTTATTGAAACAAGAGAGAGCCAGTCTCACAGAGAGAGGTGCAAGAACAAAATGCAAGGAGGAAGAGGCAATGACACGGGTTTGTTGGGTGATTCCAACGGGTATGGTTTATAGGGCATGGGGTAGTATTTAATTTTTTTTTGTTTTTTGGAAAGTTTTATGGTTCGTGGAGATATTGCAAATGGACAGAAGATGGGTAGAGATGTAGCGGAATGTATATGGTTAACAAGCTCAATATGGATAGTGATGTTGGCAGATATGGCCAAAAAGAGAGATTGGATTGGTATGAAATTAAAAGGCCTGCTATTCTGTAGGTCTTATGGGGTAGATGGCAGTAGTGCCAGTAGGTTAATCAGAATAGAAACTCTTCTTTTGGATCAGAATGGCTTTGATACCATGCCAAAATAGAGTTAATTTCTTGATATATTCATCTCCCAATCGGAGGATTTATATAGGTATACAAGCAATGATGATCAGGTATGAAACCAGTACAAGAAGTCATAAAAAAACTGCTATGAAACTACTGCCTATATCTAAATTTACTGCTTACAACTACTCTATTAATTACAAGGGATTTCATGTCTGATTTCCTAATTCTTTAGTCAACAGTGGCTGCTTCAGTTAACACATACCTCTTCTGGTTGATCTATACTGTACTCTATTCTCGTAAGATGATAAATGCAAAAATCCATAAAAATAATAAATAAAAAAATCGATTAAATAAATTTCTTGTGGTTAATGTGTAGAGCAATTGCAAAAATCCATAGTCGATTTCCACATACTTCTCTTTTGGCAACGCTCCTTGTTTTACTGTATAAGCTTGGAGGGAAAGATCACTTCTCTCCTTAATGAAGCGCACAACTCTGTTTGAACATGATTCTCTAGGCAGCTCAGCTTTTGGTTTTGGCTGTTTTGTAAGTGTCCTGTTTGGTTTGCAAGGGAAGGGGCTACTTGGTCTGTTCCATCAGGCTATCCTATGTGAAACTCAAAACTATGGGCTTGAACTTTTGGTGCTCCCAAGTAGCCCAATTTTCCATAACCTTAGCGTCACGTAGTCCAATAAACTTCTGTAATCATCCAAACCACGATTCACTTTCAAGCCTTGATATATATGACTTGCGCCCCCTTTAGCAGGCGTGGTTTATGTATGATGTTAATATCGTAACATGGCTTGGCACAATAAATATGGATGAATTTGCATGGACTTGGCTAAACTTTAGCTAGAAGCTCATATAGGTAGCCAACTTTTCAGAATGTTCCAAGTATGAAATGATTCGTTGTTTCAAGAAAAAAAAGAGTATGAAATGATTCTCAAGGACAAAATATAAGGTGGTCGTGTAACATGGATGACTTTGCAAAATCATGTGCAAGTAAAAAAGAAGTTGCAACCACAAGATTATGTGGATTAATAAAAAAGTTCCCCGTTGGTCATACAAATTAATCAACAATTTTGAACAAGAGGAGGGGGAAACTGAAGAAACTGTGGTAGAGGATCATCAGATTCGTTCAAGAAATAAAGTTTCTTTTTTCGAACAAAGGTTAATGTTGTGATTATAAATACAATTTGAATTATTTAGAAATCTTATTCTACAACTCTTAACTGAAATAAAGGGGACTCCAAACAGACACCGGCCACTAAAACGGGCTCAACTGATCCCACCCTGTGATAATGTTACCCGGGATTAAGTATACAGGGATCTCTAGTTCAACTCGAATGGAAAAATAAAGAGATACCTTGCCCGCAAGAATGACGAAACAGCATTGGTACTGCACTTTACTCCCCGACAGTCAATCCAAACCCGAATTTGTAGTCTTTCTTTCTGTGATCAATCTGCAAGGCGTATATTTTAGTACTTGACAAAGAAGTGGCAAAAAAAAGTTCACCTAATTGAGAAGAGGAAGAACGGCACACACAACATTGCTAAATCCTCACCTCTGCAGAAAGAACAAAATTAAGACCCATATTTAGTCGCTCTTCCAAAAATGCAGCTACGGTGCCATTGGAATCAATCTTTCCTCTAAGACGGCACTGCAACAATGATAAAAGTTAGCCAAGAACAGTCAACGCTTAAAAATTCATATTTGATTTACCAACACAAATTAGGTAAGCATACAGTCCTCCTTGACGCCATCACGACAAAGGGCACAAACAAAATTCATGATGAGACATGAACTGGGTTTTGTATCAGTGCAATAGAACACCGAGGAAAAAAAATCCATATCTAGGTTTTCAAAAGACAAGGCAGCATTTTTTGTGTATTGCATGGATACACTGCATATATACATAACAATCTTATGATGCCAGACTGAACCTGAATCTGGATCAAGGTCCGCACAGAATTAAACAGGCCACAATGTCCAAGAAATCATGTTTCACGAAACTGTTCACCTACTAGGTGGTAACATACTCCAGCAGCAATCCAATACCACTGGTTGTGTAACTTAAACCCTAAAATGTTCACCTACTAGTAAGATCACAACATAAGAAGAAAAAGAGATTGTCTATTTATTGCAATGAAATAGGAATCATTGATTTATACATCTCCCACTACACCATTATAATGATTCATGAATATTTGGACATTAAAATACGAAAGCTACCTGTCGAAGAATGTAATCATAACCAAAACTAGCCGTGACATCTCTTGACATGTAGTTGTACATGAAATCTGATGCAAGAGAAACCTACAAGAAAGAAAGACTGTAAGAAAGACTTCGGAGAAACCATAAAAAAGGAAAACTCCATCAAGATATCCAATATAAAAGGTTAAAATAGATAAACTTTTCTCACCTTATCAGACACCTTTTGTACATAGCTAAGAGCAACCATTCCGGTACTAGCGACTTGCCCTGTGGCAACCTGGTGGTGCAAAGAAAAGTTGGATTAGGGTATGAATCACTAAACAGTTACTTGAGTCAAAATCTCGTATGAAAACAAAACCCGGTAGAGTTTGTTTTATAGTTGCCCAGTCATACAAAGGAGATCTCATATGAAAACAAAATCCAGTGGAATATGTTTTAGAGTTGCCCAGTCATACAAAGGAAATCTCATATGAAAACAAATGTAGTGGAGTTTGTTTAAGAGTTGCCCGGTCATACAACGGTTAGCATACTCCTTATGTTCAATAAGCTGAGGTTGACCCTTCAAGGTTCAACAGTTTGGGGCTTAATTTCCTATAACCCTATATCACCTTTGTTCATAGAACGGGCAGGTCTCGCTTGAAATAGTACCTAAGATGATTATGAAGACCATTCACAATGTTTTGTAACCCTTGCTTTCTGTTTTGCTTTGAAGCTTCCTCTAAGAATTAGGGAGTTACTGCAGTTATGAGGTTTTTTTTTCCTTCAGAAGTGGGCTACTTCTCTCCTGGTCCTGGATGAAGAGTTTATATTTATAATTTAAAAAAAAAAAGATATTTCACTCAAGGAAAGCAGGACCCTCAGACCAAAAAAAGAAGGAAAGCAGGGCCCTGCGGTACTCAACCCTCAGACCAAAAAAGAAGGAAAGCTGCGGTACTCAAATGGTGGATCTAAGGTACATGAAAATAGTAGCATTAGTCAAATGTTTAATGTGGAGGATCTTAGCCATATATCCTCTACAATAGAGACAATGAGCCTGCAACCCCATCCAATTATTAGTAAGCAATTATTTGGTTTATTGAAAAAAAAAAAAGTATTCCTCATTTCCAATTGTTCTGTCATATCATTAGTTTCCTTTATTTCCAATTATTTCAACATCATTTTTGAACCAACCCTTACAATGGTAAGAGTTTCATAAAATTAATTTCAAAAGGAAATTTTGCAATAAATGTTCATGATGTTTTAACTCTACATCATGGGCCAAGACTTACTTCACCCTAAAATTGTGGCATGAAACAAGGTTTTTGAAAAAAGAAACAAGAGTGAGCAAGCATCCAATTAACTTTAGATACATTCTACATGCACAAATCTTGATGCCTTTCTGGTGCCATAGAATGCAATAAAAACGGTCAGAAGCAATGAAAACATTATGTCGAATAACCAGGAAGTTATAATTTAAGGCTTCAAGACTTTACCATCTTGTCTGTGTTATACCGAGCAGCATAGCCAATACCAGACTTCCGATGCTGACCAGCCCAGAACACTTCACCACCCAAAGCCAGATGGGGCGTCACGCTCTGAAAAGTAATAAGCACTTTGAAGATTGGTAAAATGCGCTAGGTAAATCAATAGAGAGAACTAGGGCTCATTTGGAAGTGCTTTTAAAATGACTGAAACCGCTTTTAAAGAAAATGTTTTTGGGTTCCAAAAGCACTTGAAGTGCTTCCGGAAGAAGCATGCACTTCAAGTGCTTTTCCAAGATTCACTTACGTTTTTACAAAGGATTGGTTCCAAACACATTTTCACCAAAAGCTCTTTCGGTCATTTTAAATGCACTTCCAAATGATCCCCTAGGTGTGCCATTGACATAAAGGCAACAAAATATGCTTATCACTAGGAATTAAAATGGAACAATTAATTACAGGGAAAAACAATGGAGAATACATAATAAATGCCAGTGTAACTCATAATACATGTCACGAGTAATAGTTAGACGATAAATTTTGAGTCATTCCTGTAATTATATTATATACTTACTTTTATTGCTCCATTTACCTTTGGTTCATGCTCAAATAAAATCCAAGTGCTTTAACAGCTAAAAGAGTTTTGACAAAATCTTAGGAAACAGTTATTGGCACACTAGAAGTCATCCTTCACTTGAAGTGCAATTTCTTCCTTGGATTTATAAGCGAGGAGAGCAGGATGACCTTTATGGAGTGCCAATAACAGCTTCTACATCTTAATAGAATCATAGAAATGATAAAAGCTGGGAAAACGAAGGAAATGAAGAATAAATGCTGGAAAACAAGCAGTTAATAGTAATTGGCAAAAAGACATGGTCATCATATAGTTAAATTATATTTAGTATAATTAATACAGATTATACATTTCTGTCTTTTTGTATTAAGTGCTCTCCCAAAATGTTGTGAAATACGCAACACATGCAAAAATCAAAATAACTTTTTTCTTCATTAAGAGAAAACATAAACTTTTGTAACCGAAAGAAAAGAACACAGAAATTTAGAGAAATGAAAAAGATTACAGAAACCATGGAAAAGGCATCCACCGATGGCAAGCCCATAAACAATTACAGAACAGCTCAGTCACCAACTTAAAAAAGCATTATATGAAACAAAACACAAAAACCCTATCAAATATTTAAACTATAGCATCTTTGCCAATTACCACATGACAAGAAAATAAGTTATCCAGAAATTCGAAGATACAGAAGCCTAGAAGGGAAGCAAATAATGAACCCTCTCACGTAAAGGAAACTTATAGAATCCATTTTGTGCTGATTAATACATGTAGAGTTAGAGTGTACAACAATACGAATTATTGTGAAAAGAACTTTTCTTTTGTCATAAACTAATGAAAAGGTTAAACAGAGAATACGGTATCCAATATTTTACCTGAATGTAGTTTGCTCCAAACAATGCACCATTTCCTAGTTGAAACTGTGACCTGTAATCTTTGCCCTGTACAGAGGAAGTCAATGTTGGGTAAAGCCATATAAGTACAGAAAGATTATTAGAAAATTAATACCAAAGTGGTTAGCTCAAAATACAGAACAAAAATTAATAAATAATCATGTTATTTAAAAACAAATAAAAGAGCATTAACTCCATATACGTTGGACAATGTTTTCAAATAGAAAGTACCACATCATTTGGTCACCCCCATGTGTATTGAGTTCCAGTTGTTGAAAAAATGAGGAAAAGTAAACAGATGGGAGAAGGAAAGGAAGTCTAAATCATTTCTTCTTAAAGCCCTTGCGCTTAATCCCTAAAGCAGATCAAAGGTCATTCCAATCAAATTCTAATAGCTATCCTTAAAATCCTGGTATTTTTTTAATACTGTGGAGAAGTCCAAATTGAAAGCAAAACACCAGACCTACTTTACTACATATAACTTGTAAAATTTAAATAAAACTAGATTAAGAAGCAACTAAGGCACAACTACCATCCAATCTAGAAGATGAGTAGAAAAGAACACCCCCTAAATTCAACTGAAGCAGATGACCAAATCAAATCCCAAAACCTAACTCTGTTGGCAATGGCGGATCCAGATTTTCAAGATCGGGGGGTCCCAACATAAAAGTTCAAAAAAAATCTTACACTAACTTGGTTCCATATCACTATTTCTATTAAATTTGGTAATTTTGGTTCCATATCACTATTTCTGTTAATGTAACATATATATTATTAATTGGGAGTTGGGACTAGAGTCTAGTATTAAAAAACTTATATGAATTTGGAAGAAATAAAATTAGGCAGCTAAAGGGCAGTGGAACGACAAATGGTGGTGGGGAATAGGGTAACTTGGGTTTAAAGTTGGAAGGTTGCGACGATTGGGGCTGGGAGTTGTTAGATATAATTTGGGGATACTGGAAAAGACTGGTTCTCGGGCCCTATAGAGAAAACAGAAATATTTTAGTTTTTAAATTTTTTATAATGACCTAGCTTAAAAACGCTGTTGTTTTGGCTAGGTCTTTTAAAACAAAAATTAAAAACCTCTTCGTCTTCTTTGTTATAAGCACTGCTGCCAGCACATCCATGGAGGCAACAAGCCTCTCCACTGCACTTGCCCAAATTGTTGGAGGGTCGCAAAGGTTGATCACAAGTGTTTCTTTGGGCTTCCGAAGGGTCCCGGGTCCCTATATGGATCCGCCATGGTCATTCACAAACCCCTATATACTCCTAGTACCTCCTTGACTTACCAGCACAATAAATTCTCAAAGGGCTTTAAGCCTTATCACTTAACAGCGGATAAAAACCTGCTGTAACCACCCGACTCACTGACCTCCCTGAATATATTCTGCAATAATCTTAGAGATACTGGACAGAGAACATGTATATCATCAGCACTCCTCACCTTGCTTACACAAAAATGCACCAATGAGAAGAAAATTGAAATACATCAATTTGCTTGTCTTTGAATTAAATTGCACATGTTAACCCTACCACGAGCAAAATCAGCTTCCCCTTCCTGCTGGTAGAAATTCTAGCATTGTGTCATAGTGAAACTAAGTTCCAAATAAGACATACAAGTAGGAAGCTGAAGATCCAGATTCAATCTTCTTGAATCTACTCTAGCATCCGAAACCTACCCTTTTGCAAAACAACCAGGAAAGAAGATAATTCCTCAACCTCCACCTCATTAAGTACCTCCTAAAAGTCTAAAACCAAAATCCCAATTCACCAGAATAGATATGTCAAATGAAGGCTAAATGGTTCCATTATGGTACCTGCCTACCTGGACAACAATAAAATTAACAACCAAGGAGACAAGCTTCTAAAATTAAATTCACCCACCCAAATTATTCCCAAAATCTCATACTATCCACACTACCAACTACCAGACAGCAAGAAAATAAAAACTAATTCGACCCAATAAACCATCACGCAACAATTTTTGACACCAACCAACTAGCCATCCATATTACTGATTATTGTTCAAAAGTAAAAAGGGATTGATGAAATTAAATTAAAATTACAAGGAACTTAATGGTTCTCCACAAAAAGTTATTAAAGAGGGTAACTGCATCCACCATAAGATGTTTCTCTGCTATAAAGCCTACAACTTAATGGTTCTCCACAAAAAGTTCTTAGCTAGATTTAATACAACTGTCTCATTTTCTATCACAAGCAGTTTTTAGCTTTTGCATGACCCAACAGGAAGTTTTCTTTTGAGTGCCGCAAAACATGGAAACACAAAAAAGCGCCTTTACTACAGAAAAACTTCTACATTGCTCAAAATGTTGTCCCAAACAGGTACTTAAAAGTTAAAATAGCTATATAAAAGTTCTTTCACAATGACTGCAATGCATGTAATTTGTTTCAGAGAGAAGTTAACCTCTTCCTGGTTGGAACACCATTATATAAAAAGAAAAGTAACTGAAAGATATTCCAAAGTCAACGTCTTACCTTGTAATCAAAATTGACCATGCCATGTGACATGTGAGGCTCATTGGTAAGCTGGAAAGAAGCACAGAGAAGTTAACTAACTAGCTTAGACATTACAGATAATCTGCACAAACTCTGAAATTAAAAAAAGAGATAAAGTTCTTCAACAGTCTTTCAAATCACCTGAGAATTGGCCTTCAACGTAAGATTCTCAGATAAATCGCACTTTACTCTTGCATTAAGCCTTCCATCAGTCATCATTCTCCCAAAAAGCATCAACTGCATGACACCAAATATTTAAGTGAGAATTTAAATTCAGCTTGTCATAGAAAAGTTCCCAGATGACTAATATCATAAGATGGTTAGTTACCTTTGGATCTATAAAGTTGGCACCAAACTCATAGTGAGCAGTGGGAATTTTAATAGTTTCAGGAGATTGTGAAGGAATCTCCGTAGGTCCCATGAACACGCTGATGGCATAGGAACATTATGATTCAGATCAGTGTCTAAATACTAAGGATTAAATAGAATGATGATGGGAATGAATTGGAAGTCCGGTCAGACCTGTGACTGAGTGAGAATCTCTGATTGAGTCCTTTAGTAAAATCGAAGCGCATCCCTTCAAACAGTTCAGGCTTTAAAGACACTGCATACACACACAAATAATCTCGTCTTAGACCAACATTGGAGCACTTCTTTATTGTCCAAGTAAACCCAAAAATAAAAAGCCATTCCATTCGATTTCTAAAATCGGGCTGTGTAACATGAGACACAAAAATGATAGTTAGAAGACCTAATACATTCATATTTCTCCGAGAATTCATAATTCAAATATAAGTTATATAACATATTAATTCACAATAAAACTTTCATCAATTGCATGTAAAATAAAAGCCCAGAAAAGCAAATGTTTAAATCCTAACAAGAATAAACACAAATCCACATACTTTTCAAATTAAAGAACAAATCAGTGTAAACTAGAGAGAGAAAAATGAAACAAAAAAGGGGGGAACAGAGAGAGAGACTGACTGAGAGCTTCACGGTGGATCTCCTCATAGGGAATAGGGCAAGGAAGATTCAAGTAATCCACTTTCTCATCCTCTTTCGGCTTCGGAATCGTATCAGCCGCGGTTGGAGGGGGAGGAACGAGGCCCGCCATTGTTAGTGCTGTTTATGCTCTGCCTTCGGTCGGCAACAAAACTCGGAGGGTATCGGGTGGAGAAGGAAAGGGGAAGAATGGCTCTCGACGATTCGGATCAAATAAGAGAGAAGAGCCTCTGCAGCAACTGGAGGGCTTCGAGCGGCAAAACCTCCAAAGTCCGGAACAGTACGACGAAAAACTAATAGTCTAAAACCCTAGTGAGAGTAGCGGGTTGTTGGGTTGAGGAATCAAATGGGCCGTTGGTGCAATCCTATTACATTAGCGATGTGTGGTTGCCTAAATCGTAGTGTGTCTAAGGATATCTTGAAATATTATTTAGGATTAGATATTATCCTATTAGAGTTGTAATCCTATTAGGGTAAGGAATTAATCTTTCCTACTACTATAAATAAAGGCACAATGGATTGAGATAACATAGCTTACAATTATACATCTCTTTCTTCTCTATATGTGCCGCACCCCCTCTCTCTTTATGGCCTCCATAATTGTTCAGTAAATTATGCCTATAACACATTATCAGCATACTATTGATGTTGCGCTAAAGAGAGTTTGATCTTCAATCAAAAGAGTATTACGTTTTAATTATTCTTTTTATGATTAATTTATTATTTTATTGAATTGATCTACATGTTATTGATTCAATTTAATTTTTCTTTGTTGAATGTGATACAACCCATTGGAGATGCAATTCCAGCTTTCAGAGAAGGAGTTTCTGTTAATTCAAAGGCTTAGTTGTTTTCTGCCAATCAAGTTCTTTTGAAATAAATTAAGATATTTGAAACGACCATGAAGTATGCAAACATTCTCATGATGCATGAACCCTCTATATTTATATTTACCTTCCGATATATATATTTCATATATTTGTCAATATATATATATATATACACACACATTCATGCATTACGCAATTTTTGCTATGTGGAATATGTGAGCCAAAGAATCAAAAGAAATTAGAAGCAATTAGGATTTTTCAAACCTATAAATTTTGAACAAGAATTTAAAATCCTTGGGAAATATTCGGATGAGCCACGACCTGGGGTTTTGAAAGTTGATGGGCCTGTAGCCCTATAAAACAGCATACCAACATTTGTTTGCTAGGCTTTCTCATGGTCCATCCTGCACCAGACCAAGCCAGCCTATGCTAGGCTTGTCTGTGCCCTCGCCCCAAATTAGCCAGCAAGCCATTGCTTGCTGGGCTTGCATTGCGTCAACCAGAAGCCAGCGAAAGCTGGGCTTCCTTTCTCACCACTGCCCAAAGCTAGCAAGCCTATCGTTGTTGGGCTTTGCCCTTCTTCCCTGGCCCGCTAATTTGCAGTTAAGTTAGGCTGCTATGCAGTAATATAATGGAGCCCAAACGTATATACTCAATTCGGCTAGAGTCTACCGAATGTGTCACATCCTAGTCCCGGTTCCGCCGTAGTATGATATTGTCCGTTTTGGGCCCTAGCCACACCCTCACGGTTTTGTTTCTAGGAATTCACGCGAGAACTTCCCAATAGGTAGAATGGTATCAGAGCCACTATGTCGTGTGGTGCGGGTGTGCCGCCAAGGACGTCGAGTCCCTAAAGGGGGTGGATTGTAACATCTCACATGGACCAACGAAGAGGGGGTGATGTGCCTTATATGTACATGCCCACCTCCATATAGCACAAGGCTTTTTGGGAACTCACTGTGACACACCCCAACCCGAGATGTCCACTAGGACTCGAATCAAGATGTGTTGGCTGACACCTGGAAGGTGACGAAACCATAAAGTGTATTCATGTGGAAGATGTGAACAAATTTAAACCTAAAAGTGCCTAAGTACAAGAGTGCACGGTGAGAGGGTGTGAACCCATTTCACACGTGATAACAAAGCATAAGTAGAGTATAATAAAATAGGGTGATAATTATATCATCGATGGTAATCGTCTACTCCAAGATTTGCCAATAATCCTCGTCGATACGAAAACTGATACTAGAACCTAGAGGGGCGAAAAACAAGGGTGAGTGGGCCTGAAAATAAAGTTTTAATAAAAAACTTTTGAAAATGTTATAACCCCTCGCCGTAAAACCTGTATAGTTTCCAAAAAATAATAGTACTACGTAGGTATAAAAACCAATGCACAAGACCAGCGAAAATTGAGATATGTCATGTCATAATATTTCAGCACTAAAAGATGTAAACCAGATGTGCAACTAAAATAAAATAGTATGCCAATCGGAGTCACCTTACTTGACCTGTACGACTAGACTTATAGCTCATCAATCTAGGCTAGCACATGAGTTGGAGTCACCTAGTGTGACCTGTACGATAGGCTAGGTATAAATATGTACGCTCAAGTGCTACAATCACGTGAAAGCTATACGATAATCACGATTCTACGAGTTGGAACCACCTATTATGGTTTGTACGAGAGACTGGCACCAGAGTTGGATCCAAGGTGAGCATGTTGTGCGGGATGTGAACAATCACATAATGGCTGGCCCTGGTCCTGGGAGAAACATTAATACCGGGGTGCAACCATGATGAGCTCTAATGAATATATGCATATTCATATAATTCAACCATTTCAATCACATAATTCATAATTTTGTCACTTACAGCTAATTAATCCATGTGATGTTTGTAATGCTTCAAGCTAGAGATGATCAATGTCTTGTCAACTAAGCAAGTCGTAGTAGCTTAGTTGATGCTGGGACTATGGTTTTAAGTTACTTCGATCAACATTGCATCTTAATTAGAATAAAAAAGGATAATCTTCTTACTTGTAGGGGTGAATTGTTTCTTTTGTTTTAGTTAAGATGGCATAGTATGGGTTTTATTTCACACGAGTTTGTGAAAGCTTCATCTTGCCCATAGGTGTTGAAGTACTAGAAACTAATTAATTTGCTTGCTCGCAGGTGTAAATTAACCTAGTTTAATGAAGTTTTATTGGGGGATTAAGTTTCATGCCTTCAATTACAAATATTTCCACTGTGAGCCCCATAATAGGTTGTGGTTTTTAAGGCATGGAAATCGGTTGCATCATGACGTATTTTGGTGTCTCTTTATGAGACTTGTTGATGCAAAATATTGGACCCATGAAGGTTAATCAACGATTGCTAAGGTACGCATTGTTTAAGTCTTATGCTTGTAAATCTTTTTTATTTGAACTATAATGTCGATTTAGAGGATGAAATTTGACTACTAGAGTTTCCTTTGGACATCAAAATTGAAATGATATGAAATTGAATTTGTTATGGATGCATAAATTCATGATAGATGCACATAATTGTTTCTGGCATATTGCATGTCTTGATTTAAATTGGATGAATGACACGTCTAATGGTCACCAAAATGTACTATGTGTCTGCAAATTTTCGTAATTTTTTGCTATGTATTGTAATTATGGTGAACTTACTAGTAACCCATGCTTGTATAGACAGTTTTATTGGCAAATTGCATTGGTCTTTTGAGACATCACTTTAGACTACTATTATGACCCAAAACAGCTCTATAATTTTATTTTATGAAGATTAGTATGTCTATTTTGATCTGTATAATTTTGATAGAAATTAGGCATATAAATTGATTATGATAAATTCTAAAGTAAGTGTAACTCATTGCTGAAATTCTGTTTGACAACTTTATGTTGGTTGTGATGTCTATTTTATTATGTCTAAAATATGAAGCAATTTTGTTTAGGTACATCCTTGAAAGAAAGTATGAATGACTGTTTGCCCAATTGGGAGAATTAGTGAAAGAAAATTGGGCTTCAGACTCATTAACTTATTTGAATAAGTGTATAAACTCTAAAAGCTTAGTGAGGGTTGTTCTAAAGTTTTGAGCATTAAGTGGACTTGTATGAATCTATTAAAGTGTTATTCTATCTAGCATGAATATGTGTTTTGGTGGATGAAATTGGAATTACGTATGTCATGACTCGAATGACAATAATATGCTTAAGTTGCAAGAATGAGTACTTGGTGTATGTGTATATTTTTACTTGTAATCATTTGGATGCCTTGTTGATTATTTGTTAATCTTTAGAAAGAATTTTGAAGCTCATGGGGACTTAGCATAAATATGGAATTATTAATACAAATAAGGTGGTTGTTGGATGCATAATTTTGTATAAACAGCGGTGAATGTCTTAGTTTTACCTTTCATTGAGATTATGCTATTTAAGGTGTTAAGGAAAGGTTAAAGAAAAACAATTTTGTAGTGATATGTATTCATTGACTAAGTAAGGGTGTTCCCACAAGCATATTTCAAAAGGTATGATTTAAGTATGGATTTGCAAATTAAGTGACAATGTTGTAGATTAGTGGGAGCTTGAATTTCATGTTAGTAATGGCTGATAGGAGCATATTTATACGACTTAGTTAGCTTGTTTTCTTGCATTTAATTAGCTAAACTATGTTAATTACAGTGTTTAAAGTTATTTTCGTGCAATTTCAGGTTTTAGTGTCAAAGTATGCAAAAAGAAGCAATTTGGAGCATTCTAGAGCATTTTTGGGCCAAGATTGGATAGTGCAAGCATGGAGGCATGAGGATGGACGAATTTGAAGGCTTGAATTCAGTTAGGGAGCTGCAAGGGGGCCTAAAAACCTTATTTCTAGAAGGCTTTATCTATTCACACATGGTGCCTAATTTCTGCCTAATTTCTGTATTGGAAGAACAAGCCGTCCTACCTTGTCTCTTAGCCGTCCTACCTTGTCTCCTACCTTGTCCAAGCTACACACTTGTATCCCTTAAGTGTTTCATGTATATATATCCTTGTAATCTTGTAGAGAAAGAAAAGGAGAAAAAACATTCTCTTCCATATTTTCCACATTCTGCCTAATTTCTGCCTAATTTCTGGTACAAAACCTTTTGGTTTCAACTAAGTTCTAAACCTTTCCTAGCCCTATAAATAAGGCTTTCCAGCAAGGCACTAGGGGGGATCACTCATTCACCCAATTTTCGTCCATTCATCTAGCCACACCACTCTACACATCCTAAAATCCTAGAAACACAATTCCAGCCACTTTTACCACCTTTGCCGTAACCTTCCATCCAAGCAACCATTCAACCACCATAACCACCTTGTGCCGCCACCATTAAAGGAGAGGAGGAGCAGTGCCGTGCAGTCCAAAGGAAGGAAGAAACCTTGCACATGCAATCTGCAACTATTGGAGTGTTTGGAGTTCTT